ACTAAAACAGTAATTGAAATTCAGCACACTATTTTTTAAAACGCGTTGCTTGAATAAAACTGACCAGACACATTCAATTTACCAGACTATTGAACAACTAGGAAAAGTGAAAAAAATACTTCTTACCGCCAGCATAAATGCGTAATTATTTTTTTTACAGAAAAAGTAATTTTTCACCTTTGATTGAGTAACGCGTCGTAGAATGCAGATACGGGCATGCAAAATACACTTGTGAAAAGCTTGAAGTCTGGCGATTCTAAAAATATATACTTTCCCGGGTCCATTTGTAGTCATTTAGTCACAATTAGAAGATGAAAACAAGTATGCAAATAATAGTCCCGCTACCTTAAGTATTTTACAGTAATGCCAGATATTAATGGCTTGCCTAACATGTAATGCAAGAAGGATCTACCATATTTGTTGCTACTGTAACAGTGATTTATGGTGAATATTGTCTGTAGTTGCAACAGGTTTCTCTGTAAATGCTTGTACAATAAAAACTGTACAGCCTTGCGTGTTGTGAATACGTACATCAACAATTGGGGGGGTGTGTGATTGGGGCAGACATTGGAGTGCCTTTACTGCCTTAACCTTTTTACCACCAGACTTTCTTGTCCAAATTTTTCGTCACTTTTCTTGTATTCTTCAATATTTTTGGAAATGAACCCTAATTTTGGGGCCTACAGACAAAATTCGAGTCAATTTTTGGTTTTTACTCAAAATTTTGTTATTTTTGTTTCCATTTTTGAAGGAAATTGCAGACCATACACGGGACCATTTTGTGAATTTGTGATGAAAACGGGGAAACTGGTGGTGAAAGGATTAACCACCAGCATGTTGATTTATTTTTAAGCCCATTGTGGAATATTCAGTTAGTGACATTTGGTTGAGCGAATTCCACAATCGGGATTAAGAAATTGCCTCGTCCATCCTATTTCTATATTTTAAAATATTAACGGTAATCTTTGTTTGAAATCGTATCCATGTTTTTCGTGCTTGTGATGATTATTTACCAAACAGTAAATCATTTTTGAATGTGATTTTGAACTAGAGTAAACACTGCAGTGTGTGGAGCTTTGAATGCATTTTATTTTGTCTATGTAAAAAAATTAAAATAAAATTTTTGTAAAATATTAAACTTCTTTAACTTTCAGGTTTACCAATTAAGAAGTTGTGTAGACCAAGAAAATATTCTAGTACATTGGAAAAAATACTTCTAAATGCTGATGTTCCTATTGAGGATATCGTTAAAGACATACAATCAGGCGGTAGTGGACATTTGTATAGTGCCGCACCCACCCCACCTAAACAGAAAAATTACAAACTTGGTACAGGAGCAAATAAACATATAGAGGAGATTGTACTCAGTGATTCAGATGATGAAATAGATGCAGTAAATGAGACGAAGGTTGTCTCAAAGGATATTGTAACTGTTGATGAAAACAGTCATATTATGGAGAGTCGTGATGCAACTATTACTGACACAAAAATGGTCTTGGAAGAGGATGGGTATGATCTTGAAGAAGGGGAGATTTTAGAAGATGAATCAGTGTTAACAAATGAAAAACAAACTGAATCAGGTAGGACAATGATTTTTAAATGTTTATCGGCTGTTGAATTCTGTAAATGGTGTGGACATGTGTGCTTGTGAATAAAAACGTTTTACAATGCATTGAAAATGCATCACTCGCTGAAACCCTCCATGTACTGTCAAAATAAATGGGGGAGGGGATGGCATGAACATGGGACTTGTTAATGTTGATTTGCATCACAGGGTGTCGAAAAATTCAGCAATATTAAAGTCACTGCATTTGTTAATTCACTTTTGGGTAAATCAAACATAATGAAATTAAATATATTAGTGTGCATTCTAAACATGGTATCCCGAAAGTCCTGTTTGGATCGATGGAAATGTTGAGAAGGTTTGTTGTTGAAAATCCAATGTCTTTGAAACTTGACTATTAAGGGATCAACCATTTGAAATCGTGGTGTGTTGAGCTGTAGGTGGAATTATTTTTTCATTGTCTTATCTGTATATTTTTATTCCATGAATGCGCCAACATGCTTTCCCAGCAATACCTTGCATGCAATTTTTCCCTTCGGTCTTGGCTTGCAAATTGTTTAATGAAATCATCCAGCCACTGCTTTGATTTCAAATGGTCTACCTATAACCCACTGTCAGTCAATAGCACATTACACCAATGGGGGAAGACCAATTACAAAATCATGGATCTTTAAGGGAAATGTTCCTCTTTTAAAAACATGGTATCTCCCTCAGACAGGTTAATTAAATAAATCTAGAAAGCTTGTTGCTTACTGGTTATATAAATTATTTGCTATATGAAAAGTCTAAGTTTTATAATGCTATTCATTCTTGGATTGTAAAGTGGATAGGGTGGTAATTATCTACGAAAAAACAAAGTTAGTATTAGCCACTACCAGTACTAGAACTATTATATTTTTGGTGAAATCCACGTCAAGGTTTTAGTGTTGTGATCAGTCTGGTATCAAATCATAAGCTTGCACTGTCAGTGTTTAATAAAGCTGTCTTTTTTCAGGTACATTAATTGAAGCCAGAGATGTTGATAGCCTATTAGAACAGTTTGAAGAGACGGCAGCAAATCTTCAGTTGCCCAATACACCTGAAGATTCCCCGGAGTAAGTTTATTTCATTTTTTTTACTCCAGTGTCCACAAGATGTTCCTAGTGTTTTTATAATTTACTGTATCATGTCCTATGTATTGTATTCCAGTTTTCACTGTATTCATTTCAATAGCTTGTATTGCATTTATTTCCATTGTTCACTGTAATTACTCATTCCTAGCATAGCATGTATAGTTAATAGTTGTGTTCATTCCAGTGTTCACTATTAACACCTGTGTTCATCAGTTTTGAGGTAACACTTTGTGTTCAATACTAAATTAGTTGTATAGGTTAGATCACGGTCCGAGGTGACAATGAGAATTTGAACGAGGGCCGTTGGGTGCTCAGTCACCGAGGGCGTGATCTTATAAACCGACTTAGCACTGGCCAATCAGCCCGAGAAATGATTCGTATTAACCAATCAAATGATGACACATTTTGACAGCAATCAGACTGGTGAAATAACATTTTAGTACATTTTGTCAAAATGTTGCAACGATGGCCTGCGTGCTGCCAGTAGCGTCAGTTGAATTGAACGCAACTCAGTGGATACTTAGTATCTGATTTTGGTGTTATAAATAGTTGCAATGAAAATCTTGCGTTTTTTCAGCCGTGATCTAAGTGAATTCGTGGTGAAATAGAACCACACTTTATGGCGACTGATTGGTCGAGGGCTGTTGGCCATGTGCTAATTTGTATTTCATAATGTTGTAAACACATCTGTAATTCTTTCGTGTTTATTTTACAGGGCAGCTTACAGTCAACAGAAAAAAGGTGTCAAGTTGAAAAAGGACCTTGGAAAGCAATATCCAGTTTTAAAATCACATTTACTAAAAAGTTCATGTGAGTAAACTACTTAACTAAAAAATATTTACATGTTTATAATCTGAAAAGCCTGTCACCAATAAACCCTTTTTCAAGGACCATTGTATCATGTTCCAGCTGTGTTTAGTGATGTTATTGTTGCCTTTGTCAGTGTTGTACTGTGGGCAGATTGTTTTAATGCCGAATCAGTGATCAACCAGAAACCATCCCATCTTGTTAAAAAATTCTTTTTTTCGATTGTTGCATTTTCTGTAATTGACTCAAAATAAGCACATAGGTCAGCAGAATGTATACACTGCTGCAACTGGGTTTTAAAATGGTTATTGGTGGTAAAGTAAGGCAATTTGGACAAATGTAGATGCATTTGTTGTTGATGGGATGGATGGTGTTTACCATATAGTTAATGACATTGGGATTGTTCCCATTGCATTGTTGCTCCACACAACTTTTAAATTTGAAAATGTCAAATGCATACAAAATCTGCTCCAGTAAAATTACCTCAAAATTATTCCAGTTGTGTTTTAAAAATACACTAAAATCCAGCATTTCTCTTGCGGTTGGATTACGATTTTGGTTGGTACATACATTAAGTATTGAACCTTACTGCCAGTCACTTTGTTTTGCAGGCTGGTGGATATTTTGTATTAATGAATGTTGTTCCAGAGCCACATCTGACTAGTATTCAAATTTCATACACCCATCATACATATGCACATATAATTATTCCACAATCCAAGATGACTAGGTAGATGCATTGAAAGCAATGGTAACTCGGTGTCATTTTGTATTTCAAATCTGATTTAAAAATGGCTGAGTGGTAACTATTTTGTTTTAAATGAATGCCATTTCAGAGATGTATCTGACATGTCTTGTGTACTTCCATATAAAGTAATACCCTCCCTCCAATTTTGTTGGAATATTTTCCATAATTTTTTATTTTATGAGTTATTTAAATGATTTTCAATCGCGCGTTAGAATAATGTACCATATATCTATTTTTTTCAGTGGTGACTCCTCCTGCAACTCCCACCCCTGTGGCAGTCAATGTAGCAGAGATTGCAAAAAAGATTACACCAATTAAAAGAAAAACTGCCATACTTACAGAGCCACTTGCTATGCCAGCGAAAAAATCAAGAAAACGTGCACCTAGCAGTCAGCCAAACAGTCGACCAAGTAGTCGATCGTCTAGTCCTATGATTTCTAGGAACATTTTTGAAGATGCCGAAATACCATACTCTTCTCATGAATTGATTATAGACCATGACTACTGTCAGTCCTATTCACAGGATGATGGGAGTAGAGATTCATTCCAAGAGAACAAAAAACCCCCTTTGGATGCTAATCCTGTATCCAGAAATAACTGCAAGATAACAGAATTTTCAAAGGATAAAGATAGATTTGCAAGATCTCTGTGGGAAAGAAATTCCACTGAACAGTGTTCCAGTGTGCAAGGATTAAGCGAGTGGGATAGCCCTCCTCAAGGACCAGAAATTTCTCAAACTGAAAAACCTGTAGTGACTGTGAAATACTTTGACAAAATACCAGAGTATTTTGCCAGCAAAATGCTTTTCCCTGCTTCTGTTGATAGCAGTGAAATGGCCAAGACTAAAATGGAAAGTAAGGAGCTGTCCACAGTTGATATCCAGATTAAAAATCTAAACAATGAGAGTGATTGCAAGAGAAGATCGCACAGTCGTTCTTGTTCACGCTCGTGCTCTTGCTCCAGATCACGCTCGCGCTCTCCATTGAATTCCAGTTTGTGTTCACGATCTTCATCACCTTGCTCAACCTGTTCTGATTACAATGAAAGATCATACAGAAGTCGGCGAGGACGCGACTCTTACAGCCGATCACGATCAAGATCTTACTCGCGATCTCGTTCAAGATCATTTGCAAAATCTCATCGATATAGGCATTCATATTCGCGCTCGCGCTCAAGATCTTGGTCTCGTAGTCCACGTCAAAGATATTCAAGATCTAGGTCGCGTGGAAGGAGACGTTTGTATAGCCATCGTAGAAGGCATAGGTACACTTACAGTAGATCTCGTTCAAGATCTCCATATAGATCACGCTCGCGATCACCTTACAGATCTCGTAGGAAATCCTACTCGCGACACCGTACAAAATCACCTTACAGTAGACCAAGGTAGGAATGTGATTTTTTTTTTCCGCTTCGCTGTCGACTATGTCGAGCGGAGCTTATTATACGAGTGATTGTTCGTCGTCGTCCGGCATCTGTCGTCCGTGTCAATGTTTTACTTTTTCGACTTCTTGAAAACTACAAGCCTGAATGCTTTGATACTTTGTGTATATGTACCTTGGGTGGACCTCTCTCAGATTTGTTCATTTCATATCTAAAATTTTCTAATTTTGATGAATATTTTTAAAATTTTGGCTAAAGTGATATTTTCAATTTCTTGTTGAAAATTGCAAGTCCAATTGCTTTGATATTACATATAACAGCGGAGCTATCTTAGCCGATAGGTTGCTTGTTTATTTTATTCTATTCTATTTTATGGTTAACATTTGCTGGTCATGCGCTTTATTTCTAATGTGGGAAAATACTATCAATGTGCACTAGCTACAAGCCAAGAGTATAATTTCCAATTGTGTGATTGGTTATTCTAAAGCAATTGATACCAATCATTTGTTTATAATTATGAATCACAATCAATAAAGTAACAATTATGAAACCACTAAAGTACATGTAGCTAATATATTTGGCTATTAACAGTATTCACCAGTCATTTGTTTCCCATTAGACCAAACTTTTATTACTGTAAAATCTGTATTAGAAACCGCGGCTTCTATTAAAATGGTACAATCCAATAGAGGGGTTGCGGCTTCTATTAGAGCATCTACCCATATGAGAAATGATGATTTTTTGGTTCCCAATTGTTTAAAAAGAATGGGTGCGACTTCTATTAGGGATGCGGCTTCTAATACAGATTTTACGGTATTCCTTGTTTCTCAAGTAATTTTTTTTTCCATTAGATTTGTGATTCTCAAGGAATTGTAAGTGAGATAATTGTTCAGCGAGAAAAAATGAAATAAATTTTTATTCCATGTATAGCCTGGTTGGCAGTTTTAACATTAATGAGGGATTTCTCTGTTTTTGACGAGAGTTTCAAGGCGCATCACCACAAACCACGCCACCGCCATGTTCGCCTAGTATTCGCAAGCAGAACAGAGGTCAATACACGAGATTCACTGTCAACCAACGCGCATAAAGTATAGATCTGTGCCAGACTTCGGTACTTTGATTGATACTCCCACAAAAATGAAATTTGGATTTGTTAGGCGGTGGACGAAAAAAAAAAAAATGAAGACAAAAATAATTCTTTTTAGCAATATTTTGCACTCGCAAGTCGGCGTACGCGAGAAATTGTGCTAAGATAAAATTTTATTTTTATTTAATTTTCGGCTGCTGTTCAATCAGTGGGTTCGCGGAACAAGGGATAATAAAAGTCTGGCCTTAAATATTTAATCTGATATGTACAATGTAGCTGCTAAGATGAGGGTTAGATCAAGATGAACTTGCTGGTACCATATAAAATGTCTAATATTGGTTCCATTTTAGCCGAAGAATTGACGAGATAGCTCCAGAGAGAGGCCAGGAGAAACAGTGGGTGAGTAACTGATCTGTAATCTTTTCACAAACCTTTTTGCCACCAGTTCCCTATTTTCATTACATATTCAGTCCTGTTTATAGTCTGCACTTTCCTTCAGAAAATTGGGGGGGGAAATATCTAATTTTTGAGTAAAAATTAAAATTGACTCTAATTTTGTCTGTTGGCTCCAAAATTAGGGTTCATTTCCAGAAATATTGAAGAATTTAGGAAAAAGTGCAGAAAAATTCGGGCGAGAGTCTGGTGGTGAAAAGGTTAAACAAATATTTTTGTAGATGGCTGAATAGTTAGAAGATATTTAAAAATATAATCGTTTTAGTGGTGTGGTAATGCAATTGTTAAATAAAAGATAACAATGGAATTAATTTATAAATATGAAAGCAAGTACAGTAGAACGTCGATTATCCGAACTGTTGGGGGGGACATGCTTTTTGTTCGGTTATGCAAACAGTTCTGATATGCGATCTTGTGTGGGCGTGCTCAAGTTTACAGGCTCACGACACACAAATTCTGATGCACATGACTGTAATGAAATCAAACAATAATACATGTAGAGTACGTCATTAAAAACATTTTTATTTAATCAGTAATACATTGTAATAAAAATGTTGCATGCTGGAATGTTTCAAAATGTCCGTAAAATGTAGCGATAATAAAGTTCTTGGGAAAACCAAGTCCCGGAACCAAGTGAAGACTGATTTCTCTGAACGATTGTCATAGGCTGTTTTCGTTATCTTTCGTTTCAGTCCTGCACTTGAATCCATTTTACTGAAAAAATCCAGCAGCTTTTGTTTTGCCTTGATATCGGATATCATCGATTTACCAACACCATACTCGGTAGATAGATTGCTTGCGGTTTCGCCACGTTCTAGTCGATTTATAATTGACAACTTTGCGTCTAAATCAAGCACACCGCGTTTGCATTTCACTGGGGGTAGCCACGCCAACGCTAGATAAAAGATGCTGATAAAGTAAACGGGTGAAAGGTCGCTGTGTATAGATCGGCTAGCGGCTCGATGTTACCAGATTGCTTGGGGATTTTCGAATGGTAAACTGCTACAACTGATTCCCGATTTTATTGGATTCAGCAAAGTTTTTAACACCTAGAACGATTGACATAATAAATTGTTGTAAAAATCCAGGTTGGCTACTGTGATCACCGGACGTAAACACTTCGACGCTGTGAACCATCAAACTGCCCGCCTGTGGTCGTTGGTTGCCGTTGTCTGCTGATGAACCATCAAAGAGGCACACCAAGGGGTTGTCGTTTCGTCTCTTTTTCACTGCACTATTAAACTGGCGTCGCTTCTGTGGCAAGACATCCCAGAAGTTATTTTCTTTCTTTTTTATTCCGAAGAGGATGTGACTTCTCATACTGGACATTAAAATTAAAAATCGGGGAAAAAACGGCGGTGGAACCCCGTACAATTTTCCCAGGAAACGTATCCGAACTGCGGTGACTTACAACTTGGTAAAGTCATAGAGGGTCTATGGTAAAGTTAAGGATCTGACTGTAAACAGTGGAGAAGACATTTGATGAAGTTTGTGTTTTTAGGACATTTTTTATTTACAGTGGAACACTGGTGTGGCGTAATAGGCTTGTCTGAATTTAGGAAATTATTGGATACTGTAATTCGTTTCATTGTTTGCGCAGACACTGTAAACAATGAACGTACACGTGAAAGACGTCGGATTACATGTTGATAACGGCTTTATTGAAAGTGTTGCACCAGGAAATCACACAAGACGACTGTAGTATTTATTGTTCAGTTGACTTTTGTATTATACGGAACACAGCCAGACCTGCATACAAACTTTGGGGGACACACAGTAGGTTCGGATAACCGAACATTTTGGATAATCTACGTTCGGATAATCGACGTTCTACTGTATGAAAATGATACACTAAGTAATGTTGAATTACTAGAGGGGGAAACAAAAATTTGACACTGTATTGTATAAATGTATCATTTTAGGAGGATCGCAGAGTTGTGTATTGTGGTAGAATAGATGAAGGCACAACAAGAGCTTATCTGAGAGAACGTTTTTCAGCTTTTGGTGAAATTGAAAAAGTCAGTGTACATTTCAGAGATTTCGGGTGAGTAATTTACACGATTTTGTTTCTATTCAATCAGGAACTTGTGAATTGACCTCTGTGCCGAATGGCAGTCATTTTGTTTTGATGTATGCTATTCCATCATGTCTTTGCTACAAGGTGGCCAAATGGCAGCCATTTGAATGTGAAATGTATCAAAATCAAGTATTTCTGCCGTCCTAAATCTATATCATGGTAATACATGGACAGCCTTGATGAGATGAGATTAAAAATGGCTGTGTGACAAATTCTGTATTAAAGGAATGCTGCGCTCAAGCCATGTAGGTAACATTCCTTCCTTGTTGTTGCTCTTGAACAAATTCTACTATGGAGACTGTTTTTAGTCCCCGTTCGGACGTAGTCCGAAAACGGGGACTTGTGTTTTGCCCTGTGTGCATGCGTGCGTGCGTCCGTGATCACCTGCATCTCGAACATGCATGGACCGATTAAGTTCAAACTTCACTCATACATCGCACATTATATGGGACATATGCACACGCATTTTTTTCATGATCCGATTAACGATAGCCGAATAGCGGCCATTTTAAGGCCGAAATTGCATCAAAATAGCACATTTTCACCATTCCGGACCCGGATCTCAGTTATGCATTGACGGATTTTGTTCAAATTTGGTACATACATTAAACATAATAGGACCTTGATGCACGTCATTTTTTTGGGGGGATCGGGTTCGAAATGGCCGACTGGCGGCGATTTTGTTTTAAAGAATTCAGTTCTGGATCCGTATCAGAGACATGTCTGGATTGATCAAGTTCAAACTTTACACACACACATGGTACATCATGTCACAAATAGATATGTGCATTTGTTTCATGATCCGCTTAACAATAGCTGAATGATGGCCATTTTAAGGCCGAAAATGCATCAAAATCACGTATTTTCACAATTCCGGAACCAGATCTCAGTCATGCATGGATGGATTTTGTTCAGATTTAGTACAATGTGTTGTACATATGCAGGTGCATTTTGGTCATGATCTGCTTTGAATGTACATGTCACTCAAATATGAACGAAACAGGGACGTGTCATTGACAATGAGTTGTTTCTTCTGTATATCCCATGAATGATTACATGGAAATTTACATGTTGGTGACTGCACGTGTATGCAATTAGTGTTCCCGATATCAAATGGCTGACTGGTGGCCATGTTAGTTCAACAAATTTCTGAAACTGGACATGCATAGATAGTGTCCAGTATCTGTAAAGTTATTTAGTATCATTGAACATGTTGCATCCTTTTACTTTTTAAATGTACATTTGTTTCAGTGACAACTACGCGTTTATTACGTTCAAGTACAAATGTGATGCTATAGCATGTATAGAGAGTAAGTATTTTAGTGACTAGTCATCATTGTAAGTACGGTATGTGTGCAGTATACAACAAATGCAAAATATCAACTTATCCTAAATGAGAAATGAATTATTCTGAAGGATTCTGGCTGTTTTAGCAATACAATTATTATTTTAAATTGAATTACAAATATTGGCAGCTACTGATGTTGATCAAATTTGCTCGCATGGATTTCAAACCCATCAAACTCAGTCCCTTTCATAAACTATACCTACCAAATCGTTTGTGTATTTTTTCAAAAACAATTTGATAAAAATAATTATTATAGAAAAAAT